AAATGTTTAGTGTTATAGCTGGAAAAGCGTAAAAAAATGTTTTGTGTCAGATCAGTGAGAAAAGCATTTTTGAGGCCTCTCATTCTTAAATTTCCTGTGGAAACAAAAAATCTACCCCGCTTCTGCCTTGTGGAATCAGAAATGTCAACTTGTACAAAATATATATAGAAAAATAAAATAATTGTTTTTTTTTTAGGTGTCCCTCAATGGCTTTTGTACATTTCTGGTATCACAATGGCATTTTAATTTCTATAAAAGATTTGATTGAATTGAAGCAGATTGTGGAGAGGTGTAAAGATTTTCTGAACTCTTGATCTGTATTGGGGACAAAGTGTTTGATGATGTCACTATTGTAAAAGCAACAAATAATATATAGGACTTTTGAGATAGTGACATCATATAATGCTTAGATTTAGTGGAATTGCAAGAACCACAATCGATGCTATCAGTGTCCAAATACATTAACAAAAATCTCTTTACAATCACTTGTAGGTTGTAATAAATGATTTCTTTCAACCAATTTACAGAAAGGTATACACATATCTAATAACTAACCAGTAAATTACAAAACTCAACAAGTGTTATTTTTATCATTTGTCTAATTGCATGATATATTCTCTTGTCTCTCATTATCTTCTTATCTCAACTAATAATAGATAATAATGGCTCCACCCTAATAGAACAACTATTTTCTCCTCCGGGCAAATTGATTTTCTAATTTCTAATCAATGAATATTAAGTATACAGTCTGTTGTCTTGTCTACATTTTCTCACGTAATATAGTATCTGGAGAACTGAAAGATAAGTAAAGTAAGTTTTGTGTCTGATAAAACAGATATTTTTAGCTGAAATTTCCTACAGTATCAATATTTGATATCATTTTCTTTTATTCCAACTCTTTATCATATACCATACTAATTAGATTAAATTTTCCAACACCCACATCTAAACTTGAGAATCAAATTTTAATAACCACTACTCTTATATTTTCTGGTGTATTGTTACACCTTATTTCTTAAATTCTGATATATCCAGACAAAATTGAGGTGCCCAAATTTACTAATGATAAAAATCTAGAGATGTGTGTCATTTACCTTCCTTATCTGAAAGATTTAACTATAAAGCTCCTGCCCTTAACTTTTACAACACCAAACTATCTATAGGAGTATATTTTTCACGGTTTTAAAGGGACATTCTGCATTTTTTGTAGGTCAAACATTTTTTTGCTCAAATTTGTGAAAACTATACACCAAACTCTAGCGAAATATTCCCTTTAACATATCTCAAAGTTTTAACTAAAATAATATAGCCATTAATTTGTCAACGCTAAAATTGTAAAGCCAATCACCCAAACTAGATCAACTGCTTAATTAACAATTAGTACTCTCAGTTTTTAATTAACCCTTTTAAAACAAATTGTTTGATCAAGTAGATACATATAGCATACTTTACAAATATTTTCAGGTAAAATTTAGATAATGAAAATATTTTACGAAAAAAGCAGAAGGCCCTTTAAATAATTAAAGTCAGATTGTTTTTAGACAGTTTATACAACTCATTAACAGGTCATTATCAAGTTAGATCCTAATAGTTGTAGGTATTAAGACAATATGTGAGTAAAGCATCAAAGACATTCTAGCTCAGACCATTAAGTAAACATGTAATCATGTTTTTATGTCCCATATTAATTTTGTTTTTCTATTGTTTACAGAATGCTGTGCAGTGTGATTTGTGCATAAATAATCGGGGTGTTGATTATATAGGAATAACTTTACCTTTTTAAGTTTAGCTTGTATCACTCGATTAAGCCTTGGTTTTGGGGGTAGCGGGGGCGGTGTTGCTTTGACACTACCAGATGTGGAGGAATCCAGGGGAGAAGAGTGTTCCTTTAATATATCGGCAAATTCTTCATCAATAAATCGGGATGTATTGGCAGGAGATAACTAAGAGAAGCAACATAAAGCCATAAACAACACAATATCAACATTGGTCAACATGCACAATAAACATCTTACTGAGGTGGCCTGGCCTTCTTTTTACTTGAAGTTTAAAAACCAATGCTGGCTATTGAACAATTTTGCATGACTTTTTTTTTTATTACATAGCCTATTGTATTATATTGTACTGTTTATCAAGGAAAATATCCTAGAATTGTAAAATTCACATTTTCAGTTTTCATTAATGTTATCTATGTATATAATAAAATGGAAATAGGTTGACACTTTTTTCTGATTCATTCTAGATAGAATTTCTGAAGTTCTACATGGAAGTATGGATTTCTAATCAATAAAGTACAGTAGATTTTAAAGAAAGATTTGAAATGAGTCATTAGTACCAGTAGATAAATGATATCTGAATACAGTGACAAATGACTTAATGTCAACTAATTAACTATAAATTTTCCTTTCTTAACATTCACATTTTTTTGTGTTGTTTTTTTTTATTTTTTAGTTTTAAAATAAATGTCTTTGTTTTCTAGGATAAAATGAGCACAATATTAGCAAATGGATTCTAGCTGGCAATGAACCAAAGCAATTTGAGGGAAATTTATACCAATTTACTAACAACCTATGAAGTTTATTTAAAAAGCCTTGAATCTAGTTTCAGCATTTAAGCTAATTTTCGAGTTATTCAACCCAATACCAAAATATCACATCACAATATCAATGAAAATTTTAAAATCACCAAAACCAAGGACCAAGCCACCTTCAGCAAGTTGTATTGTTCTCTTAAAGTCATTCAAATTCAGAAAGAAATAAATACTCAAGATTTGCTAATAAAGTTTATAACGTGTAATGAAACAAAATATATATATATATATGGGAGTCGACAAAAATAAAAAAAATGAAGTCAAAAACGATGTAATTGTAAAGTAATAGTATACCGGCATTAACATTGAATATGACTAGATATAGTTAACATGTTACATTTAATAGCATTAAAATATACATCTGATTCCTTACTAGCTGATGTTTAGTGGTGTTAATGTTAGAGATGTTAATGCTATGAATCAATGTTAGTGTGTACTTTGTTAGCTGCTATAACATTAGTTTCTTTCTATTACATATAAGTTTGTTATTATAACATATTAGTTTGCTACAGTAACATATTAGTTTGTAATGTTAGTAATGTTTGGGACTGTTATGTTATTTATATATAAATGATATGCAATACAAATTCATGAAAAGGGACCAGTGTATTTTTGAAAGTCAATTGAGATTCAAGATGTAAATTAGAAGGTACCAAAAACCATTTCCAGGCCATCCAATTAGATTTTGAATACCCATGAAAATAAACACATCAGTCTTGTTGTTGTTAATGAATGTTGATTTTAAAGGTAAACAGGTAACCAACACCAGGACTTCATGCTATAAGTTATACTTCAAAAGAAATCCAGAATAAAAAATGATCAGGGACTATGACTAAATGAGAGGACAAACATGAATCTTACGAAAAGGCTGTGAGAAATAATGATGGCAAAAAACTGTTAAAACAAGTTTACAGAAAATAATATTGTCACTATTTCCAAGCTCAATCATGCTTAACTTACTTAACTTTACTGATTACTATTAGATATGATAATATAAAAATCGAGATACTTTTGTTTAACTAACTTACTATTCCTTCTTTTACATATTTTGTTTGTTTTAAAAACGGACAGGAAATCATAAACTGTGATATAGGTATATCTATTTTGATTTGAATAGTTTATTTCAGAGCTATTTTCAAAGATAAATTATGACCTTATTTATTCTGTTCAGGTTCACCCTATTCTATTTTGCTTACTTTTGCCATGAATATTTTCTACTAAATGCTTGAATTTTTCATGTCATGTTTTAATTTTTAATATGAGTTTGTATCTTATAATGTTCTACAACAAACAATTTCAAATTGTTCATTTGGCACATTAGTGACCAAATAAAATATTCTAATAATATTAAATGATAAATTCTACGATTTTCAATTTATAGTCAGAGATAAATAGGTTAAAAATGGTAAAATTCAAAATAGGGGCTTTTAAAATTGAAGATACTATCTAAAAAAAATTTAACGATAAAAATGTTCAAAAAATGTAAAATATGTAAAAAGTTAACCTAAGTTTCTTAACAGTCCTCGAATTACAATGTAGCTAGCTGTAATAAAAATCAACTTTTCTAGAAACCATTTCTATATCACTTAATTTCTTATGTGTATAAACACAGTTTTGGTACAATATCTGTATTTAAATATGAAAAGAAAGAAAGAGGATTTGTCATGCAATACAGGGAGATAACTACACTAAACATGCTATAACTATTGCATAGAGATGATAGACAGAAAAAATCATCATGCTAAATACAAAAGAATTATCTGTCTAAATTTGACATGCCTGGAACTGTAGTTTATCGATTTTTGGTAATTTACAAACCAAATAATATAATTTGAAAGAATATTCTTTGTTACAGTGCAAAAAACTACAGTTTTGGCAAGTAGCCAACATGTTCAAAAACTTTTGAAAATAGTTTGAGAAGAGTTTTGAACATGTTTAGAATAATATAGAATATTAACATCAATGTGCATTGAACAGGTCACCAAACATGAAGCTAAAGCATTGAATAAATAAATAATAGGTCGCTACTTAGTGTCACTAAAGTGATTAATTCAAATTGAAAATATTAAAATTGGGAAACAACCCAGTTGAGTGCTTTAAGTAGGAAAGTAAAAAAGATCGTAAAAATTTATTACAAAATCACATATTTGGGCACTGTAGGTTCACAAATATACGGTTCACTCACTAAAAATATACAAAATTCACTATGCACTTTTTGATGTATGATAATATATCACAATTTTAATGCGTCCACATAACAGTCTAAGCGTGTCTCTTATTGCTAAAAAAGTTTGTGCGGAATTAAATGTTTAATTGATTAAGAAATTTTCACTTCATGTTTCAGTGATACTGTCCATTACACAATAAAAGGATGGAAATGAGTTAATATTAATATCAACCATTTGTCTAACTACGCTTCCGAACTATCAGGAATGTCTAAACCAAATACCTGGTCCGAGAGAGCATCAGAAACTTGTCTTTCATGTTGATTAGTCAATTTACTATCAGTTGTTACTTGTAATGAACCAGAAGTAGCCTCTTGGTAAGATGGTAACGAATCAATATCTTCATAATCAAATTTTTGCTTGTTGGTTGTTTGTACCACTCTCTTAGTCTCTTTCACTTCTTTACCAAACGTATTTAAAGATTTAGGTGGGGTAATTGGTTTTTCTGTGCCAGATTTTTGAGGTGATGTTTTTCTTGGAGTTTTTATTTCCTCCTCATCACTATCATAGAAACTATCTTTACGTTTTAATGTTGATTTACCATCACCTTCACTGGACTGAGTTGATTCAGTATAGGATTCATCATGGGTTGTCATGGTAATAGTGGAAGTTTCCGGGAGCTGCTCGACAAATGATGTCACATGATCTGGGGATGATGGTGCTGCATCAGATGAAGGAAGTGCATCAGACGACTGGAGAAGACAAAAGAAAGCAAAATGCACACGTGCAATTAAAGAACACTTCAAGCCATAGTTAGAGATTAGAGGAAGTTTGAGGGTTCTTTTTAAAACCAAACATAATTTAGAGAAAATACATCTGAATATCAAAATGCCAGAAGCAAAAACAACTCAATATATCAAAAGATGATAAAGGAATTTTTAATGTGCAATTACAATATATCTGGGTTTTGGTCCAATGTTTGGTTTTAAAATATAGACGCATACATGTGATAAAACTCAAATCTTATAATAGAGAGTCTCTTATTAAGACCAAAATGGTGTCATTTCCAAAAGAACATGCAAAATAAGATAGACGAAAATATTCATTTAATAATGTTGACCAATTTCAAAATTGAATCTTGTTGTAGGTCTGTAAATAAACTCAAAATAAGGGTATTTATCACAAGTATGACTTTGGAATGCTGAAATATTTTCATCATTAGTCACAATATCATTGCAATAAACAATATCTAAATCATAACAATTTTCATAATAAATACTACAGATCTGACCAATTTCCAAAAAACAAAATCAAACATGCAGGAAATAAACAGACAAAAACAAAACAAATGTCATGCTTAAATTTTGGTAACACTACATGATATTTTGAACGCATAAGTTTCCATAAACAGAAGAAGTATTGTTTTGTGGTGGAAGGGAGATAATTTGTTACTGACTAAATACAGGTTGTAGTTTGTTCATGAACCACAATTTGTGAAATATAGAACAGGTGACAATGCAAGGATTGTTTTGATATTTGAGGATTGTGTGAAAGGTATTGTTATACATATTAGTGGTAAAAAAATAAATTCCAGTAATGAACACAATATATTATTCAGATATAATCCATAGAAATTGAAAAATATTCAGATTTCATATTACTGTTTCTACCATGAAAGGTTGAGAAATTCAGATTTTCAATATCCAATTTATGAAATTGGTCTTTGGTATCAAAACAGACAAAAACAACTCATAAGTAATATGAAGATTTGATTGAATTATAATCTATTCAGTTCACTACTAGAATATACAAGACAAGTTATAATTTACCTGCTCATTAGGTAATAAAGATAATGGTTTAGCAACACCAATCTGTACAATTCCCTTCTCAGCACCTTTTAATGCTTGAGCTGTTTCATCTAGGGTAGCATTCTCTACATTGACATCATTGACAAAGATAAGTCTATCTCCTGGTACTAGACGACCATCTTGTTGAGCTACACCACCTGGTACTAAACTCTGTATCACTATTACTGTCTCGTTGGGATTTACTGGGTCCTAGAATAAAGGTCAAAGTCATGGTAAATTTTTGAAATATTCATGAAATAATTTGCTTAATTATCAATGAATCAAGAACAGTAGTTATCAAGAGAGAATTTATTTGTCATCTCAACATAAGTAGGCATTTAGTATTGAAATTCTTTTTTACTTATTCCGATCAGTTTCTAAATCATCCATTTGCCTGCTTATAGAAATAGTATAAAATTATTAGATCTTAATCATTTTTTATTCTAAGAAAATCTAAAAGCTGTGAACATGTACTCAAAATCATGCATTTGCAAATTTTTGAGTAAGAAATGTCAACCACTTACTTGATAGTCTAGTATACTAAATCCTAAACCATTATCACCTTTAATCAACTCAATAACCACTGGTTCATTACTCCACATAGCTAAACTATTTAAAGGTTCTAAAGATCGAGATTTGGTTTTATTCAAAGTATCCTGTAAAGATGTACTTTCTACTGATGAAATGGCTAGATCTGATTTGGCTTTCACCATTTTACTAGATAGTGGTAAATTTTCTTTCACACCAGTATTAAAACCAGAACTAGTAAAATCTACATCATCAGGCTGTGCTGCATAGTTATCTGTTGGTTGTGTCTTCCTTCTAGCACAAACCAGTCTCACATGTTGAGGTAAATCTTTTAATATAGCTACAACATCAACATGAGTCAATCCCAATAACCTCCTACCATTTACCTACAAAACACAAACAACTTAGATATCTATATTTTAACATTGAAAGAGACTAGTTTTGCACTTGCGATATAAAGCTGAGGAAAGATAATCTGGAAGTACAGGTACCACATATATATCTATAAGTGTCCCTATAACACACAATCTGTGATTCAGTTTGATATTGCATTAGAGAATTCTTATACAGAGAATTTTGTATGTGTGTTTCTGCATCTACTTTATTTTCTAAATGTACTACTACCTACACATGCCTACACATCTAATTATTTACTATTCAGGCCCCTATTCAGACTAGTCAAATCTTGTGCTACTGTGGATAAAAATTCAAACCAAGTACTAACGATCTGAACCGCAAAACGAAAACTCTTCACATGAGGAAGTATATCAATCATAAGTGAGTAAGTATTTCATAATTGCTCCAGATTCACCATGCTCTTGAATTATCAGAATTATTTTGAAGATTCAAAACAGGAAACTTACCTCTAAGAGTTCATCTCCACTTTTACATCGTCCATTTTGACCAACTGGACCTTCAGGTAAAATAGATCTTATATAATGATGTGGTCTAACTTCAACACCATTTTCTACATCAACTGTACCTTCTAAACTGATACCTAATCCACCTCCTTCTTTAAACTTAGATAATTTAGCAACCTGAAACAATTATCAATCAATGTTTGTTTAGTGCTTATCCATATTGTTTTGAAAGTAGTGTTGGCGAAATGAGATGAAGGGGAATGATGACGGGCCAGGACAGTTTGGTAATATATTGCTTTCACAATTAAATTATACATCACTATGCAGTCAATCTTCAGTTAATTCCTGTTCTTTTCAGCAAGCAGAAACAATAAAATAGCTTGCCAGACAAAGTAACACACTCACTTTCAACTCTGTTTTGATTAGAAAATTTGGCAGAAGCTATTTAAGTTAAACTTGTTTCTTGAAGAACATACTTAAGAATTTTTTCATTTTTCACTTTTTGATAGGATTCATTTTTGGGTGACAATCAGTTATTCAACATATTTCATAAAAATCTGTCTTCTCAATTGTTTCAGAACAAGGACCGGTGGATGGACTCTCAAAAGGTGTTTGGAACTGACAAAAGGCGTTTGGAGTATATAAGTACTTATCATGACTTTCAATAATCATTTTCATTGCATGCCAGGATATAACTGGGTAACTTTTTAATCAATTTTTGACAGAAAATGTCAGCTCTTACACAACAATAAGATTAAACATGTCAGCTATCAAACCATATGTAAACTAGTCAAGTTCATCTCAAAAATAGAGAACAAATTGCTCCTGTTTTAAGATTGACTACAATTTTGGGATGTCCAGTGGACAAACCCAGTTGCACAATGGCATCATGTGTGTTGTAAAATATTTCTTGTATCCATACTAATACTGCCATTATTATCTGAAATTCTTGATTAAATTTGTAATGATTTATTACAAGATAATATGTTGTTAGGTTTGACATGTTTCCATTATTTCTCAATAATCTATAATTTCCATGATAGTCTAAGTTCAATTAATAACTATTATCTTTATGGATGCCAAACCTCCTGCCTAAGCTGATAAAGATATGGTATTCACTCAGCTTTGACACAAAATAAGATTACCTTCACCATATTGGGTGTGTTACGACTTCAAAATGTCAGACAATGCTTTCTTTTTGAGTAAAATGTAATCAATCCTAACAGAAAATCAGAATGAAGTAATGTCAACAATAGTTGATTAGGAAATATTGATTGGTAAAATTATAATCGGAATAATCTTACAAAATAATACAAATACTGTAGCAATTACTAAGCAATTTATTACATTATTAATACATTACAGTTATTACCTGACAATACTCTACATGATAAATTACTCATATTATATACCTCAGAAACTCATATTATAATTAATTTCTATATTACTCATGCATTGGTCATACAAAATTGTGTTGCTTAGAAAATGCACCACATAAACATTACGTCAGAGAGTTGTTGTTTAGGATAAAGCTTAGGTTTTTTTTAGTTACTTTCTTCTACCAGCTGGTCCTTGAATGAATTTTCAAGATAATTTTCTGGTTTAATGAGGAGATACGTCTTTTTCGAAGTTAGCAGAATTTTAAGTTCCAATCGAGATCAGAATTAAGAATTATTATTTGTTTTGTGTAAACCAACCTTAAAACATGTTTCTGATGAGAAATAAGCTTGGTCCAGATATATACAAATTCATGCTTAATTTGATGTAAATTTGTGTTGACATAATCTGGAAGATGATAAGTGAGTATAAATAACAGAAAATGGTAGAAATCAAATGAACATTATTGATAATAACATTATATCCTATATGCTTCATTGATTCATAAAGACATTTTGCCGATGGACAAACGTGAATCTTCTATATACCAATTAAGTTCCAATCAGATAATAGGACTTTATTGATTTTTCTCTATACTCAATTAATCTATCAACAAATGACACTGAGTTAAAAGAGCTCTCTATGTATGATGGTAATATTAGTCTAATAATAATAATTTAATGTCTGTCTACCTTGATAAAGTTTATTAATGTATCAAATGTAATTCTGCTTTCATTATTCTGCATCAATAGAAAATTGAAAGTTTATCCAATTATTACGCTAATATAGCTTTTCAAAATCTTTATTTATCCTATTTCTGTACTGCACAATTCCCATAAGAAAATAGACTTTGAAATTAATGGTTTGGTTTCAGGCCAAAATTTAGATTGAAATATTTGTCTCTTCAGTCCACCTACATGTACTGCCTAATTTTACTTTTAAAAATATATGCTTAAGTTATTGCTTCAGTTTTTGTGATAAGTTGGTCTGTATTTTGTCAATATTTCCCTAGTGGATATCAGTTCTGAATATATCAAAAGCATCATTTCAAAGAATTTATAAATATCTATTTTTCATTATTTATTTTATGTCATTCATAAATCAACAAATTACTTACCACAACATCAAAATCAGGACCGATTATAGATGTCCAACATGATTTTATTGAAGCTTCTTCATCTGATGTTAGATCACCACCTGCAATCATAAAATTATAGCATTTAATAAAATATTTAGACATAGTGAAATAATCCTTAATCTGAAATCAAATAGTGAACCTAAAAATAAACCTCTATTCATGTGCGTATGTTTTGTATATAAGTCTGAAAAATAGCATGTGTGTTAATTAATGAAAGAACAAATTGAAAGTTATTTTAAATATTTAAGAATGTTATAGTTATTGTTGCTGTTTCTTTATATGTAGGCAACACGAAAATAAAATAAAATGTCCATTGTATTTGACAATCTTTGACTTTTAAAAATAATTTGCTGAAATGTTAATTCTATGGTTTCAGGTCATCTAATGATATTTCAAAATGTATTGCAGGACTATTCTCTGAATACAGTCAGACAAATATGCTTTAAACTTTTAAACATCTTTCAAAATCAACCATTAACTGGCCTACATATATGATTGATTTTTACTGTCAAAATAAGAAGAATCTAGACTAACTTGTTGGCTGAGAAAGACGATGGATGGTATTTATTATGTATATAGAAAGTTTTTTCATTAGTAGGAAATAGGTAAGGGTACCCAAGTGTATATTTATCAAATGTTATCAATATCACTCCTAAATATTTCCATATTGTAAAAGAACATTAAGAAACTCAGGAGATTTCTAAAGGAAATAGAAAATCTTGTTGAGACAATGTTAAGAGTGGTGGCCTTTTCATCAATATTTGACTTTATCCAATTAACACATTAGAGATTTGAATATGTAGAAAATTGAATTTAAAATGAAAGTAGTGTTTTACTGAAATTAAAGATATCAACATTATATTTTAGTACAATTTCAAGATGCTGATAGTGCTATTCTTTTAAAGAGTTTTATCAGCTATAAACCATTATTTTCAATTGAACCTATTATAATCTTAATTAAATTGATATTCTAAAAATACAGATAAAAATTAATTCAATTCAGAATTAAGTCTAAAACAGATAATAAAATATACTGATGAGATGAAAGAATCAATATCTTTACCCTGTCAATTAGTGTCAAATAAACATATTACTTTAAACATTACTGTAAATTATAATACTACTGGCATATTCATAGAAACAGCAAGAAAGAATATAATAGTTAATTAACAATTTTTTGTAAAGTACAAATATTGTTATCTGGTAATTCAAAGAGAAGAGAATATAGACTGTAAAATAATTAAGCATTGTATCATTCTATTTCAAAATGTTAACAGAATAAATATGTGAGAAAAATGTATAGAAATCATATTTAAGAGAAAAAACTTACTCCAAATTACATGGTGATTGGTGCGAAGTTGACGATGGGTTAAGAACTTCATGTCTTCTCTCTCGTTTAATCCAAATTAATCATGATAATAATATAGATTGATTCTCGATAACGTTCTAAAATAATACTGGGTTTTATAACCTGACAGTTATTTTCACTACCTTTCGTGTCTTTTAGTAATTAGAATCAGATAATCAAATTTCACATTAATAACATCATGATCTATACAGTACACATCTTATATATCACTCTATATATACATATAGTTCATTTGTTCAGTACACAATATCTATTCAAAGCTCACAATATTCAACATAGAGAACTGACAAAATTCATATTCAACATACCATCAATCTGAAAATTGACAAAACGTCACTTAGTTTACAATATCTATACAGTTAAACTGTTGCACCATCAATCAACAATGTACATTGTAGAAAAAAAACTTCAGTAACAAAAAAATGTTTGAAATATCCTCAACATAACAAAATGTTTGAAATATCATCAACATAACAAAATGTTCGAAATAACATTAACATAACAAAATGTTCGAAATAACATTAACATAACAAAATGTTCGAAATAACATTAACATAACAAAATGTTCAAAATATCCTCAACATAACAAAATGTTCGAAATAACATCAACATAACAAAATGTTCGAAATATCCTCAACATAACAAAATGTTCGAAATAACATCAACGTAACAAAATGTTCGAAATATCCTCAACATAACAAAATGTTTGAAATATCAACAACATAACAAAATGTTTGAAATATCAACAAAACAAAATGTTCGAAATATCATCAACATAACAAAATGTTTGAAATATCCTCAACATAACAAAATGTTTGAAATATCAACAACATAACAAAATGTTTGAAATATCATCAACAAAACAAAATGTTTGAAATATCATCAACAAAACAAAATGTTCGAAATATCATCAACGTAACAAAATGTTCGAATACCAACAACATAACAAAATGTTTCAAATTCCATCAACATAACAAAATGTTTGAAATTCCATCAACATAACAAAATGTTTGAAATACCATCAACATAACAAAATGTTTGAAATATCCTCAACATAACAAAATGTTCGAAATAACATCAACATAACAAAATGTTCGAAATATCCTCAACATAACAAAATGTTCGAATAACATCAATGTAACAAAATGTTCGAAATATCCTCAACATAACAAAATGTTTGAAATATCAACAACATAACAAAATGTTTGAAATATCAACAAAACAAAATGTTCGAAATATCATCAACATAACAAAATGTTTGAAATATCCTCAACATAACAAAATGTTTGAAATATCAACAACATAACAAAATGTTTGAAATATCAACAAAACAAAATGTTTGAAATATCATCAACAAAACAAAATGTTCGAAATATCATCAACATAACAAAATGTTCGAATACCAACAACATAACAAAATGTTTGAAATTCCATCAACATAACAAAATGTTTGAAATTCCATCAACATAACAAAATGTTTGAAATACCATCAACATAACAAAATGTTCGAAATACCACCAACCTGACACCGTCATTAAGAGTTCATACCATCAATATGATAAACTTAAGGTTCATACCAACAACATCACAGAGAGTTATTACATCAACATGACAAGGAGTAACATAATATTAGAGTTGGTATCATCAACAAGATGAAAGTCCATACCATCAACATAAGAGTTCATACAATCAACAAAATTAGACCAAGCTTTGGTCAGTTTTTTTTATCAGTATTTATATAGCCACTTCAGTTAGGGTCTAAGGAAAGGCCACTTGAACCAATCAATTTTGAGTTTCTCTCCAATGCTGGGATTTTGTGAGAGTGAAAAATTTGACTGGTTAAATCAGAGGTCTTCAGGTTAGGTCAAAAGGTTATTATCTATTATAAAACAGTTGGTCTCACATCAAAGTAATATTACTTCATAATATAATTATATTAATCTATAAATGTCATGATGAGGTAGCTGAATTTTTACCTCGGCCCATACTTTCCTAATTTCAATTATATGTTGTTGTTCATACTATCAATATGAGTTCATCAAATTATCACAACAAAGAGTTCATACCATCAATATGACAAGAAGTTCATACTATCTAGATAACAAGAAGTTTATACCATCTACATGACAAGAAGTTCATACCATCAACATGACAGGAAGTTCATACCATCTACATGACAAGAAGTTCATACCATCTACATGACAAGAAGTTCATACCACTAACATGACAAGAAGTTTATACCATCTACATGACAAGAAGTTTATACCATCAACATGACAGGAAGTTCATACCATCTACATGACAAGAAGCTCATACCACTAACATGACAAGAAGTTTATACCATCTACATGACAAGAAGTTCATACCATCAACATGACAGGAAGTTCATACCATCTACATGACAAGAAGTTCATACCACTAACATGACAAGAAGTTTATACCATCTACATGACAAGAAGTTCATACCATCAATATGACAAGAAGTTCATACCATCTTCGTGACAGGGGGTTTATACCATCTTCATGACAAAGAGCTTTAACATTAAAACATTTGATAACAATATCAACCAACATATCTGATATAACCAATAACTGATATCATGTAAAAATGTACTGATCAGATCAAACTTTAGAAGCATATTATACTTGAAAACATCCTTTACGCTTCCGATGAAATTATTAAAAGCAGCACGATCACAATTATTAAACCCAAATGCATTAGTATAAATAAAGTCTGAATGACTATTACATAACAAAATTGATTTCCATTATAGTTTGATCATGGTATCACTAATGACTTCTGCTTGAGAGAATCCTGTAACAGCTTAACAAGCCACGGCATCATTAATATTTACTGAACGAGTCAAAAGCTTTTCAAAAATCAATTGATTTTCTTTCATGCACACTTTCATGTGTTTCTGATAATGTTTCTAAAGAACTATCTTATCTTGTATCTTCTTCATGAATCAGGATATTGAACTCATAACCATATACACAACACTAATATATAAACCACTAAAACTAAAAACCAATATCCAAACTTTTTCTTTGAGAACTTTACTTTTAACATGTTTTTTAAAAGGTTGAGCTTTCAAAAGCAGAAAATAAAACACAAGTATGATGAGCAAGAATCATGGAATGCTTTAACATCTAGGTTTTCTATTTCCTTCGGAATTCAACTGAAACATTCCAATTTCAATAAAAACATTTACACTAAACTGAAGCACAGACAACAATCTTGTCATAGATTTTCTTTTGCCGGAAATATCATTGGAAATCCACCCATTTAAAAATGAACTGAAACATTAAAAAAGTTCATGCAAAATTTCAAAGTTCTGATCAAAAATATAAATATTATCCTAATTTGTTAAGTTCAATAATCACACTGATATCTTTGAACTGTCCAGAATTTGTCTAAAGACTGATAGAGTTAATCACAAGTTTATTATTTATGTCCTCATTACAATAGTAATAACCAACTGTTATCTTACACAAACTACTGGTTTCCATTGACAATTTGATAGTTATATAATATCGCCACTGATTGAGTTATTAATGACTTTGTATATCAGAGATCTACTGGTGATAGGTTATCATGTAAATACAAGTCGGATAATGACAACATTTGTAGGCACCATTAATAACTTTTATGATTATAGCGTGAAGCAACAACCATTATTTACAATGTACATGTAACTATTGATTATTAGCATGAGGTTAACAAACAATCCAATATCATACAGCACTACATTAGATATGTAGGAAAATAAATGATCTGTAAAATTTAGATCAGCTTTATCAGTTTTAATAAAGACTTTAAAGTCAGTCTTGCCAAGAATGTTTAGTTGCTAAATTTCTGCTGGATAGAACACTACACTAATCCATTATGAGAAAAAAGCATTTTACAATAAAAATTGCAAATCAACAATTTGGTAGGCCTTTGTGACCATTAGAAAATAAACTATACTATAGTCCTTATCTTAGTTTGTAAGTCATCTTGTTCATAGTTATGTTATATCATCAAAAAGCTTTAAAATATTTGTTTAATATACAGAATTTTACTGTCATCAATGATTATGTCTTATATATTCATAAACAACATGGCATATATTTATTATTCATATTTCAAAGTCCACATGATATTGTTTCTTTTAAAAGGATGATTTGGAAGTGACAGAATATGAGAAATGTTGGTAGTGTAAAAGAATGATGGTGACAAGGTTATGAAATATAGATAACATTAATCTGACAAAGTCAATGTAATTCCACATAGCACCCTGATATTACAGACCTAGTGACTTGTCATGTCTGTACAACAGGAAATTATGTCTTGACACTACAGGCAATAGTCGATCAATTTCCCTATCTTCCAGTCAGATAATGTGGAGAATAAATCGTCACACTGAATTTCAGATATCATCAATTTCTGCTCTTCTCAAAATTAAAACCATTTCAAACTATCCTGGTCAATAAAAATCACCACTTCTTTAACACTCCATTATATAGATCTCAAAATCTAGGATATGGTTCTACTGAACTTTAACATAATAGGAGATTTCACTATATATAACACTATTAGGAGTTTTTAGAAACTTCTTTCCTCTTACTACTAGTTTTGAGATTTCATCTTTCAGACATGCTAGGATGAACTATGACATATTATTGAATTCATAGCATACTTTCAAATTATTTTAAAATAGGTCATGAAGTAAAGTTGAAAGTCTAACCATAACTATCTTAACTACACACAAAATCTCTGTTTTGATAGAACAGTAATTTGCATGTAGCTCAAACTGATAAACAGACATTAATATAAGACATAATCTGCAATTTATTAAATAACCTTGAAACCTCATCACTTTGATTAACTACTTCTGTTTTCTTTTAATATGTCTGCCAAATGTTCTAAATTATCTTAGATAAATAAAACTACTTAATCTTACATTTCTTCAACATATTATAAAAATATTTTTAAATTCCTCGCATATATACTTTAATAAATTCAAACCATATGCACAATTTGAGTACTTTAATTTGTTGTACTAATGAAAGTTATCACTGATACATACATAATAGAAATGCAGACTTGAGCATTGGTCAAATAAAGAAGAGCTTTACCTCCTTCTTTTGCGCTCTTTATTAAGCTTTGAATTGTTCTTGGTCTGCTTTTGTTGGAGGTTTTTAAATAGCAAAATTGTCCACCTTGCTGAGGGTTATTTTTTTGCACAACATAAATTTCAATATAACATCACCTTTTCTGATTAGTTAACTTCATAATCTTTATATTCCAAAACAATTTTCAACCTAATAACCTAAAATCAATCAAATTCAATTCTCCCCAAATGGTCATAAAAAATACTAAACTAAACAACAACACTACACTAAAATTGTATCTATTTACAGTACACAATAGGTTTTTCACTCAAAACATATTTTAAACTTTATCCAAACAAAATCATTTAAACTATAAACACAATGAATGATCTTGATTACACTGATGTCCTATATTCATATCTTATCTTCTACACAGTACTTCATGGTGACATATATCTTACGTGACATACTTGAACCTATCATCTTACATAATCCTCCTTTAACACACAGATCTTCCCCATCATTATATCCAACACATTGCATAGAATCAAACTTTCACTTTTCACTGCCACTGTGTAATTAATATTGTATACCCATACAGTACTAATGTATTATACCATGTTTACTATGATGAAACAACTAAACCCACTGAGTATAATAAAGTTTTGAGATACTAATATTATAGGCTGACTATGATTAGATGTTTCAGTCTGGACTTATCATCTTTTACTTGTCAATACAACAACTTATAACTGGTTGTATATAATAATATTTATATAGTATATCTACTCTGCACACACACACACACATATATACCTATATAAATATATTACAGACACAATCTAGTGTTGACATGTTTTTTGTATTTTAACATACAAAACAGGCCTAATTTTTATCTATTGTGTTCTTATAAATAGTCCTCTTTCATGTTGTATTTAATAAGATAAAATAAAAAAAATATAAGTTATTGAGTATGGTAGTTAATTGAAAAGGATGTTTATTGAACCGAATATCTAGCTGGATTTAAAGTGAATGAAAGTGCTCTGCCACAATGTCACAGTTTGAGAATTATGCAAGTTTTTGAAGACAACGTTAATGTCAACACATATTAATGAAGACTTCATCTTTGAAGGTCTGAAGGGATGCTTTGGTATAAATGATACCATGTTGTGGCAAGTCTAGATGTAATTTGCTATGTCATGTTCATACACCTCATAATTTTCAAGGAGAGAAATATATAACTGCTTGAGTTGATGCATTAGAGAGGGTGGCCTTTTTCTTTTACTGTTAACAATTTTTGTGCATTGTCTTCAACAATTTCTAAGTACTGTGTGTAAATGGTAAGAATATAATATCTCTAAGCACATCTCACACTATGTGGATATTTGTCTGTCACTTTCAACTTTACAATAATTAAAGTTATTGTAGATGAAACAATAGGAATTTTACACCCTTCTAATTTTAACTTTTATACTTAATAGTGTTTGATGTTCTACTATTCTGCACTTGATTGGGCTAATAAAGATGCTGTGCAGTGTGTCATGAGGAAATTTTGCCAGGACTGCAGTCCATTATCTTACTTTTTGTTTGGGGATCAGAACCTGTGTATATTCTGTTTGAAGGACTAGATGTTATTTTCCTGTCAGCTCCAATAATAGTGAGCATGATGCCGTCGTGGCCTCAAAGACAGGTTTAGAATTAAGTAGTAAATAATATGTAGTCAATAATGAGTTAATATATGAAGTTGACCAATGTCCAGAAATATATCACTTAATAATGGGTTTTCACATAAATTATTCAGTAAGTGGATCTGGCATTCGGCATATGGTTGCTTAAAAGCTAATCCATCTCCAACATCACCTAATAAAGGTAACAAGTTTCATGAAAATTGGTTGAAAACCAAAAATACCTTAAGAACTTTTAATTTGAGTGGTGACAAAGGTTAACTAAGTTTTAAATAGTTTAATTCTACCAAATCTTGATCAATACCAAATTTTAACAATATACAAGATTATAGGGCTTAATATAACTATGTTTTCACTGACGGAAAAAGCCAGCTTAAGGCTAGCTGTAGTGTGTTTCTACTGGGCAAATGGCCTCATTGAAAACCTCTCTTTATATGTTCGGAAATTTATCGGGGGTCTAATTAAAATTTGCTTAATATGCAGCTTTCACTTAACTCAGTGGAAACGCAAAAAGCCAGCTTTATCTTGTTTGACTTAGTAATCAATCGTTCAGGAACCAGTTTAAATACAACGCTATTGGCAATATAGCTGGCTTAAAGCTAGCATAGAGATAGTTTTACTTTACAATTCTCAGTAGAAATGCGGTGATAGTTGAGAAATTCTCAATCACAAGTTTTTAGAAATTAAAGTTTAATATTCAATTGTTCCAGAGTTTTAAAAAAATTAAAGCTTTATGTTCAACTGTTTTATGAAGTTTTTGAGAAGAGGAGGTTTCTTGTTCAACTGTTTTATGAAGTTTTTGAGAAGAGAAGGTTTCTTGTTCAACTGTTTTATGAAGTTTTTGAGAAGAGGAGGTTTCTTGTTCAACTGTTTTATGAAGTTTTTGAGAAGAGGAGGTTTTTTGTTCAACTGTTTTTTGAAGTTTTTGAGAAGAGAAGGTTTCTTGTTCAACTGTTTTATGAAGTTTTTGAGAAGAGGAGGTTTCTTGTTCAACTGTTTCATGAAGTTTTTGAGAAGAGGAGGTTTCTTGTTCAACTGTTTTATGAAGTTTTTGAGAAGAGAAGGTTTCTTGTTCAACTGTTTTATGAAGTTTCCAGCAATGAAAGTTTTATTTCAACTGTTTTATGAAGTTTTTACACATCAAAGTTTTATCTCTGACTGTTTTATGTTTTTAGAAATGGAATTTCCAACTGTTTTATAAAGTTTTTAGAAATTAATGTTTTATGTTTTACTGCTCTGAAAGTTTTACATTATTCTACTGTGAAAAGTTTTAAAGAGAAAGAAGGAATAAATCAATACAATGATTAGTAGAGAATATTGTGTTAAAGTGTCTTTTATCTTGTTTCTTGTCTAAACATCATTCTTAAATCAATACCCCCCTCTTCTCTCTTATTTTACTTCATACATAGTACTCTTTTATAAACTGTCTTCTTTAAATATTCATTTCTTAACAAGTCAATCTTTAAAAAAACATCTCACAAATTCATTTTAAAGAATCTATATTCTGATTATTACAATGTATTCTTAATCCAATGTTTGAACTTTAATTTTCAAAGTAAACTATATACTAAGTATAAAATATTCATGACAAAATACATGAAAGAATACCAAACTTAATATATTTCATTAATTAAGTGATTATTATTAGTATGTATGGAGACAGATATATATATATATATATTAAACAACTCATATGTCATAGTTTTATTAACTGCAATTCATATATAACAATGGATAAATTTGTTGGTGTTTCTGCACTTATTTACCAATACAAAGTGATAACAATTTGCAAATCTAATTTTAATTTTATTATAATGAACGAGAGCAGTTGACTTTACCTTGAGGGTAAAATATGTGGTATTTGGAACTGATACTATCAAGCCTATAGAGTTATATTATATAAAAACAGAAAATAGTAAAATGTTCTAGTTAATGTTCCTATTACTAATAGATATATGTGATTATCTATAGTTGATGTTATAATCTATAGTTACTTACATGTATGATTGCTAATGATAATCAAATATAAAACTGATCAAAATGCTACTCAAGTTATCTCCCATTTTTAGCAACAATGCGGTAAAGTAGATCTTTCCATATAGAGCAAGTACAAAGAAATTTCCATTGAAAATATCTTGAATTTATGTTATGTATCTACTGTATTGTGTATTCGATAGTGTCAGATGACAACTTTCTTGATCAAAAGTTTAAGAAAGTAGAATGAAAATTTTTAATAAATATAAAAGAGTGTATGAAGTGGATAAATTTTTGGGTAATCCTACAATTTGGGAAAATAGTTTATAGTGGATATGTAAAATAGGGAAGCTCACATTTCATCACAAGTTACATTACCTACATCTCCCGAATGTTGCTTTAAAATCCTGTCTATAGGTATAGTTTAGCTATGATATTTGGACACATCCTGGTCAGAATCAATATGAATAGTCCATTGTATATTTGGATAGATTAAATCATCATTGAAACAATACAAGGTAGACTTTTATTGAGTTCTGTACTACTTTTACTATCTCAAAACATAGTGAATTGTACCTACATAAGTCTTTAATAAAACAAAAATGAGAGAAAATATCTTTTCTTAACTATCAATTCACTGGAACAAGGCACTCTCTGCCCTTGAGTTAACCTTATTCAATGAATTATTTAAAAAGCTTTTACTTACTGTAATCTTCTTCTACTGTGACATCCTCTACATCTATATCTTTATTATTATTATCTTCTATAGGGCTGGTAGTGGTAGTGACAGGGGGAGGTGGTGGTGATTTATTATTTACTGCTGGGGGTACTACCATCTGATTCACCTGACCTACAAATAAAATAAAACTTTCTCAAATAAATCATGCATAATAAAGGTACTCAAACAAGTATTAAAATTCAGAATATATGAAAGCTTTTTCTCTCATAATATTTCTTTCTTTCTAATATTTTTATTCATATTCAGAACACTGGAATGTGACAATGATATTTTTTTTATTTGTATTATGAACCAATGCATTCAATGGAAAAATTTTACTTTTGCCAAATATATTGTATGATTATATTAAGAAAAAATGAACAACATCCCTTTTACAGTTAGACAGCATAGGTCCTACTAGACCTCTTGAAACAGGTCCTCTATTACTCAAATTCATCCCCATATAGATAGGTTGGAATTACAATGAAAGAAAAAATTTTGGAAGTTATCAAACTATCAAATGCTTAATAAGAATAACACATTGAAGTTGTTCTGTAATGTATAATAATGATCATAAATACCTAAATATTGTTGTAATTTTTCAAATTTGGGACCATGAGTATAGCGTATTAATTTCAAATTGACAACTTGTCCAGTATTTCTTAAAACTTCTACAGCCTGATGATTAGTATAGCCATGTAACGATTGACCATCAACCTACAATACAAAATATTATCAACTTAACATTTTACAATGACATCCATTTATCTATATCTGATCACAGCTCACTATTCATAATAGTAATATACTTGCATTCAAATGTTAACTTTTTTCCCTCCTTCACTTCAGCTCAACTGTCCAGAGTTCTACAATATCACCTGTTAACCACAGTTCTACAATATCACCTATTAATCACAGTTCTACAATATCACCTATTAATCACAGTTCTACAATATCAAGTATTAATCACAGTTCTACAATATCACCTGTTAATATATTGCCATGAAAAACAAAATACGGAAAATTTATTGTCTCTATCTACTTTTTGTGGCTGTTGCATAGTGATCTTTAATATTTTACCTGTATAATTTGATCATTGACTTGGATTCTTCCATCTTTAGCTGCAGCAGAATTTTCAGCAATAGATTTAACAAATATACCAGATATATCTTCTATAATAAACATAATACAAAGACATTTAGTAATGACAATATATTAATATTCAAGTTTAAATATTCCAATTTTTTTTAAAAAATGAGTGGATTTATCATAACTAACCCTACTTCTTCACTGAATAGCTACAGTTGTAAAAATAAGTGATACCACACATCCGTTTCATGTATCAATCAGTAAATTAACACAGGCAGATAATATCAATTAAGTTGTGTACACATAAAAAAAAATCTAACTTCATATTCACAATCAGATATCTAGGCTTCAATCAAGGCTAATTCAACAAGAGTTTAGGATTATAATATGTGTGAGTTGGTGTATGGTCTGAACCTTGTCACATCTTTAGCCACCAAGCATTACTTTGCACAAGATTAAATAAAAGTGCCTTACCTATTCCAGGTCCATCATCACCTCCAATATAGCCAGCAATAGTAATACCAACACCTTGATGATCTTTAGCTAAATCAACATCAAATATTTCAGATCCAGCCAAATCATCATAGATCTCATAACTTGAAGGGTGCTGGAAACAAAATATCAGGTATGTATTAAGAAATATAATCTCTATATCACAAGGACTTATATAACACTACATCTATTTGTGACCTAGGCCAGTGCCTTCATGAGAAGTCATCACCATTGAAAATTTACAGGTATCTATAAATCAAGGAGAAAATTAGCAATCCATACAGTCAAGCGTTTTACATTTACATACATAAATTTATACACATACGGAAGACCACAAAAAAAGAAAAAGTGGTCCACAGAATGGTTCCAATAAATCTTTATAAGTTTATATAATTTATCATAGGAATATACTTACTGGATGAACTTGTACTTGACCTTGCATATTTCCACGATGGTTATATTCATTCTCACCAAATTTATTTTCATCTCCATCAGAATTGTCCATGTTCATGATCTCATTAATTTGCATAAGATGATCATCAAGGCTACCAGTTGGTATGATGGGAGCATTGGGGACCTGGTAGGGTGGGGGTTCTAATATAGATCTAGCTACAATTAATCTAACATGGCTACCACTCTGTCTTAGAACAAGAGCAACCTGTTCCGAACTCATTCCTCTCACATTAACATCACCAATCTGTAGAATATGATCTCCACTTCGTAACCTTCCATCCTGAAATACAAACGAAAATGTTAGGTTGTAATACAGCAAAGTACACACTTTCCATCAATCCATGGATGAGTCATTTAGTTTTATTGAACCTATTTAGTAATCATCAACTCTAAGTTTGGATTTGCAAAAATATGAAATGATGTTTAATTTTGAGAAGATATGATTTTTTATTATCATATTAACATTAGTCATAGCCAGTATGATACTTAATATACAGGACTATGTCATAATGATTCTAATAGAGTAAAGCAATCAACTTTCTACCATCATTTCCTGCCATCAATGTAGACATTTTTATGAGTTGTAGAGGAGAAATGATGGAAGAGTAGCTAATACTTGAGATGTAAAATGGTGTAGAATTGTCTCGCTACTTTAATAGACTGTCAATCATCTAAGTAAATAATTTAATCACTGTAAAAATACGACTACAGTTGATATATATTATTCAAACTTTTATTGCTTATCATTTTTGTGGGATATTGACCATAAGAATATTTTATCATCCAAATTCCTGTAAAGTGAGTGTCTTGATTTCCAGATTTTATATCTGCAGAATGTGTAAAATATAATCAAGTAAGATCAATCGTCAATGTGTAGGCCCTAATGGCAAAACTATACTCAGAAACCAGGTAAGTACTTCTGTCATGTTTCAAATAACTAAATAAGCAAAAGCCTGTTCCCTTTTCCATTAGGTATTTAGTAGAATAGTGGTACTAGTATTATTGTATACATGAAGCAGGATTTTGTTTGAAATGAATGTAACTTTTGTTTCGCTTGTATACTTACATTGTCAGCTATACCTCCAGGTAGTATAGTTTTAACTACAACACCAGTACTACGTCCACCTATAATACCAAATCCTAGTCCAGTACCATCATTTATTAGATCTATAACTTCTATCTGACTCCATTCTGTACTTAACTACAATTACAAAATATAACATTTCAATTACTTTACTATCTTATAATGGATGTACAAAAAGTGAATTGAGCATTCTATGCACCAAACACAGAATAAAGACAACTGTAAAGTTAAATGAAAGCATGTTTTGTAACCATGTTTGATGATGACCATTTATGAAGCATGAGAATTTAAATAGTAAGAAATAGGATAATTGTTTCTGTGATTCTTGTTGTGATTTAAAGGAGTAGATCAGAAGCATTAGAGGAATCTGTTTGAGAGAAAACCAATCTCTTAACAGAGAAAATCCTATATATTCAAGTCAGCAATCTCTCTCTATATTATTATTTTAAAGCCAGACATACAGGTCAATGATATTTGTGACATTAAGAAATGAAATTTAGATATATAAGCCACTGGGCGCCATCATTTTACCAACTTGATCTCTACTCATTATTTTTAACCAGTTGATCTATAAAATGGATTCTTTCAAGTCTACATATTTGAAAATGAAATATCAAGGGACATAGAAATATAGTTTGCCAACTGAACACAATTGAACTAACCATCCTTGTCACCAACAATTTATCAAGAATTGTTTTTTTACAAGCTTATATATACCAAAAAAAGATATTTCATTCCAAGTTATTCAACATTTGTCTTTGCTTGGACATCACCAACAAATCTCATCTTGTCATTGCACTACAGTATCAGATCATGTGCACATAACAGGATGAAATTAAGCAGGAAATAGAAACGCTGTAACTATGTTAAACTAAATATGTTACCATAGAAACCCTAACAAATAATACCATGTTATTATAGCTGACATTTGAACTATAAGAGATAATAAAGTGATCATGTAAATAATATCATATATTTATAAACAGTTAATTAATTTCTACCATTAATAACAACAACAATAACTAATTATATCATGACAATAACCATTTTTATAGACTACCTCTAGGGTAAATGTATGATTACATTGTATCCACATTACATTATCCACAGGAAAACAGATCTGCTGTGAACCATAGAAGTTGCTTTCTATATTTCAGAGATTCAATAAAAATTTAACTGAATCAATGCATAAGTTTGTTTTTCTCTCTACAAGGTCCCCAATATAGGTTTTATTACGTGTATACATGTGTAATCCTACTATACCGATACACAGAAAATCAGGCCCATGTAATAATCGAATCCATATCACACATACATTGAATACTGTCAAACTACTTTTTTTTCTACTCAACTTGACTCGAATGATTGAATCAACATTGTTTTCATAATCTCGCTTACCGAATTAAAAGCTGCAGTGCCAGCTTATAATAGAGCAAATGACAGCGAATTACCATTAAACCATATTTTGAAACCTGTTTAAACACTCATGGGCTATAATTTCCACAAGCAATATTGTTATTACCTTTTTTGACAACAAATCAAGTAAGATATTCAAGTTGACCAGTGTAGGCTATAGGGAACTCCCTATGACGTCATCTTATGTTTGTTAAAATCACATTCCAGGAGGAATCCCACAGCGAAGTACACAACAAAGGTAAAATAAGGTCAAATTTAGAAATACCATGAATTATTTGTTGCAATGGGTGTGGTACTTTATAGTTAGTACTCCAATCAAAACACCAAACGAAATAGTATGTAAGAAAAGGCAAACCGCACTCAAATGCTAGCTGGTCAACTTGGGTTTTTTTGGATTCCAATGGTATCTAGATGATTACAAATTATATATATATTATTAACTAATATTAGAAAACAAATCTAGCAGATAAATCTAGTACTAGGGGTTGAGTAATTAATTGTCTATAAGAAATGTATAAGAAAACTATAGTTGTAATATAAAAGATGTTATTGGTATAATATAAAGACAATATAAGATGTAAAATCAATAGTTTTCTATTAAATAATATTTATATTTCATTATAACTAGTTTTATCTAATATTTAATATCTCTATAGAATATCATACACAGCTTATATTACTCCACTACTTTACCTAATATGTTCAAATAAAAATTAATGAACCATGTTTCTGCAATCTCAAAGCTGAAATAGTTGGATGAATTAGAATAAACATGAATCGTACTTTGCCCTGAATTTATCTTTGACAGACTAAAGTGCTTGCTGAAAATCCAGACCTGAATCGCAAATGTCTTTCAGACTTGTGTTTCCACATTACCCTCACAAGTTACACTGGTTCCTTCCTAGTTCAAAGTGGACGATAGCCGAAGGTTTGTAGTTTAACAGTTTACAGACATCGTAAATACAGAAATTGGATCACCACTTTTGTTCTTGGACAAAATCACAAAAATGAAATGCCCTGCCTATCTGTGTTAGTTTACTAAAGAACAGAAAATGGCGTTAGATAAAGGACTTCAAATGTCAGACCACAGTACATCATCATGGAATACCAAGGTTTACCTTTAACTTTGGTGACTAAGACAATCAACAATACCTTTCCCACTCAAATAAATTCCTGTTTAACTATAATAAGGTATTCAAATTGAAAAAAAATAACTAAGATTACCGGTACAGCTTTACAGATAGGTAGTTGTTGTGGAGCATGGGTTACAGCAGGTTGACGAGATTTTAGATAACACATAGCTGCCACTAGAGCACCACATATGGCATCGTGGTAGGAACGTCCAACTTGCTCCATCTAAATACATCACGAATATAGAGAAATATGTGTGTTTATAGAAGAGAATATCCTAAATAATACTATGGTATATCCACCACATTCTTTTTATACTTGTCCATTACCATGAAACATGGAATTTTCTCGACAACATTGACACAATTATTTGATGGTTTCAGTCAATAACAGACAGACATTTGCTGACTTTGTTAACTGCAAAATGTTCCCAGAAGAATTCAAACAAATAGATGTATATTTCCTGAAACATTAGTGTTGATGGCTTTTTAATCAGAATGTTAATCGAACAACCATGTTGTTTCTCTCAGAAAATGTTGGACAGATATCAATCAACTAATTCCATTCACAATTATATATAAAGCTCAGACTGTTTTGTTTCAAGTTGGCTTTCAGTATCCTCATTAAAATAACACAGATCTGGTCACACACACTTCTTTCTTTAACCTAAATACCACATAATTTCATTAAAGTTAATAATATATCCTTCATTTATTGCTACAAATTGGAACAGATCCTTATAATACTATTCTATTATCTCTAGAAATGACACTAACATTTCACAATTACTCCTTCATACAACACACTAAACTTGATAAATTCAGTAGAGAAACCAGTTTATTTCACGTTATATATTGGCTGATGGGTAATTGTGACTAGTAATCTCCAATCAACTTGCTATTTAACTCAAGTCAGTACCAAGAATTCCAATAGAAAGTCAACAAATCAACCAGTGATTTCAAAGAAGAGGCAAATCACTCTCCTTTTCTTCCTTTCTACTCCACTAATTGTATTAACGGTGATCTTTGACTTGTATAGCTCAAGTCAACTGTTGACAGTCCTCACTAGACATTACTTGTGTAGATTTGATTCACCATATATTTCCAATATTCTCACAATCCATTCCATTAAATAACCTTCTATCAAGTCATTATTATCATTTTATACCTCATACCATTCAGTTTATTACAGCTCTTAACAACTGGACAATACTAAATATAGTAAGACAATAATATTGGTCATTTCGTGCACTAATCAATACTGTTAAAGTAAGACGAAGGATGGCTCGAAACACACCACAGACAAATGCGCTACTTGATTTCTTCATATGTATGATGTAGCTAATCAGAACTAGATGGAGTTAAATAGACTTTCTAAATATCTTTGCTTCAACAAATTTAATAACATTTTATTATTATATCATTTCTTCTCAATAATTTTAATCTCAGTACAACCACCTCATCTTTTATTATTATTTGAATTATAGATTCAAGCCAAAAACACCTACAGAATTCTGAATTCTATAACTGAAATTCAAAGCACAATATATCTTTTTCGGTTTACATGGGACCTCGTGTCAGATAATTTTGTGAACCATATCTTTAAGTTTTGTGTTTTGGTTATAATATTCTATTTTGTGTAAAACCTGTGAACTGATGGACAGACTGACATAGCTCAGAAATGTTGAGTTTTTATGCATGTTGAATATTATTGATTCAAGTTTGAAATTAAATAAAAATTATAAACATCTTACTTTTCTTTACTGAAATAAGAAAAATGGCACTAACACTGAATCATGCACTGAGATGAATTCACGAAATAAGTTTAATACTGCTGCTCTATTTTCAACAGTTAACGGATGGTGTTGAACTTCACACAGAGACATTGCTATCCTGTACATACACACTTTGTGAAATTTTTACTAACAACATTGCCCAGAACCTGTTAACCTGCATAATGGGTTGAATATAAAAATTTAACCAGAAAAGGAGGAAAATAAAGTTCGGAATTAAGAAAATTTAAATAAAGAAAAAATAGCGCATTATTAATATTGATTTAAATATTTCCCTCTACAATCATATTAAGATGAGAAATAGTCATAGAAATATATTAGATTTTATTAACATCAATTCTCAAAGGATGAAAGTTCCATCCAGCAATTCTTTATTTCTAAATTTCATCAAAATTCATGTATAACATTTGAATGGGAGACTTTTCAGGCCACAGTGTTGTTCAGTTGAATATTAACAAAGATATAATAGATTGGAAAGGTACCATTATTCCTTATACATTTTTTTACAATTATTATAAAGAAATACAGTGTATTATAACAAATAACAGAACCTGTAGGAGAAAATTCTTAAGTATACAATAAAAATATGCCATGTCATTTAATTGCCAAAGCCACATGTCATGTCACAGCAAAAGTTAATCTTATGATGGTATTTTGATCTTTAAGAATTTAACTTAAAGGGATGGTATTCTAAATTTTGTATGTGTAATGGGAACAATGATGGCATCAATTTCAGTCATTCGAATTATCAATCAGAAAATCAGTGGTTCTAATAATTCTACTCAGACTAAAACCCTTGCTAATGTCATATGTGATTCAAGCAAATTTTGCGGGTGTGCTGTCATAATACACTTTATTGGTATTACAAGAACCACAGACATCAGATTGAAAATTGGAATGGTGCAAATTGATGCTATTAGAGCTCCTGATAAGCATAAAAAATTTAGAAGTCCTCTTTCCAATCCCTTTAAGAAGTTAATACATGTATTGAAAACAAAATCCTTTTACAGGATTAAACGAAAGACATTACTCCAGCAAATGATTTGTCAACATAATTGAAGCTATGTCAGTTTGCCTATATCAAACATGAAGTAATAGAGTAAAGTGGAAGACTGGTAAATGATGGTATTTTATGATGAACGTACATCAAGATAACAGGCACACAATCTGTCTGATTATGCAGGATTTTGACAAATTGATCTTTTAGGTAGAATTGTAGAAGAAAGTACTATGGATTGAGGTCAAGATAACTTCAGCTGAATCTGGTATAAAATCAATGATCAAGTCATAAAACTAGAACAAAGTCTTCTTCCTAAAATAAATATTCTATTTTTCAATATCAATATTAATCTTCAGTCATATTATAACACTATTTATACAACCTCACTTACATTCAAAAAATTCATCGATTTTATTAAAAAAAAATTATTTTTGTTAAGAAAAAGCCTAGAAGACTGTATCAACCTGAGGGTGAAGGTTTTAATCGATAACTTTCTTCTAACCATTATCTTTGAACTGTAGGAAATCCATCTAGTCATTTCTGTAACATGACCCCACGACCTTACTTATTGTTTATTTTAATGTACACAACAAACTAATTTAAGTTAACATCTAAAATGTCCAGTTGAAAATCTTTATGCAACAAAATGGTCAAAAGCAGTTGAATATCCAGATAAAAACCCAAGAAATCAAACTAGCAGAGTAAATATTATGTTGATAATATCAATGATAAAAAGTTTCCCCAAGGCAAAAAAAAATCCACTTGTTAAAAGATCCATCCAAGACATCTTAAATGAAAGCTTAAAGTCATGTTTCTGGTAATGTCCGAAGGAATTCAAATATTAAATAAAATTATTTTAATATGCTAGCGCAAGACAGTGCACTTAGAACATGAACTCTTCTATATTTTTATCTGCAAATGATGACATCTGCTGAATAAGACACTACTCCTGGTTTAAGTGAATTGAAAATCATATTTCGTTGCATTTGAAGAAGGTTTTTATTATTGGCTTGATATAGGAAATCACTAGATAGAAAATACATCAAATAGAAGAGAAGGAAATTAAATTAATGTCAGTTTTTCAATATGAAGTAATCTGATTAGACATGAATTTGTTTTAACACGAACACAAGGTATTAGATAAATTAAAGATGTGATAACTGAATAGAACTGTTGAGCTGTGTTGTTTATTTTATCAATAAAACAGATATCTTAAATATTAAATGCCTAATATTCTAGGGAGCTAAAATAAATAATTACAGACAATATTTAGAAATAACATACAATATATAACAATATTCTCATCTAATCAATTGGCTATGCAAGCTAAAAATTATTATTATTAATTATTTTTGCTACATATTCCAGTCACTATAATTCAGAGGATCAGGACTGTTCAGAAGGGATTGATCAAGGTTGTATTTGCATACCATCCATCTCTATATCTGTTAAGTCAGAATTTGATGTCAATTTGTGATTTGTACTTTAATTTGTAGCATGGTTGGATCTTAACATGATGGTTACCAAAATCATCACAATACCCAATAATGAACCAGTATCAACATAAAGATGTGAAAGACTTTCTGACTATACATTTGACTTCCATGAATCTGGTATAAGGAATGAAGATCTCACTTAATCATTATGATATTTTTTTGATGATAGTTTTATGATATCTGATTAAAAAAATACCAGAGCGTTTGTATTTTCAGCAAGATTACAGTAATTATGATCAGAAAGCATGAAATATACCAGGCCTAAAAGTTTGTCGACAATGTACAAAAATCAGGAGGCAAACCTGCATGAAAATTCTTCGCCGCTGGCACAAAATTCATAGTTATTTGCTGTGATATCTCTTGCCAAATTGCGTAAAAATATTCATTGTTTACAAATAGACCTAACGTGAGAAATGTTTTTACAAGAATCAGCAAGATAAGTGTGTTTCAATTTCGTGTTGGAGACACTTCCAATATGTTTTCATATGATGGAACAATGGTCACAACAAAAGCATTGTGGATCAAACACACCCCAGTTGGACAGACGAACATTGTTGGTGATAATAATACACACATGTGGGATGTGATGTGTGTGTATAAAAATTATATATTAAATTCTAGAGTGTCTACATGCCTATGTAATATGCCCCAAAAGATATGTTCACATGGAAAGATGTTGGTGTATAAAATCTATTGATTTAATCCTTCAGTTTATATTTAAACATCATTATTTCATGAAATTTGATGTACACAAACTCAAAATAAATCATTGATTTGTAGGCTATTTCTGAAACTACAGCTACTCAACACAGAAAACTCAAAAAGTCAATACTCTGACTTTGTAAAATACATCAATTTATTAGCTTGTATTCACAGACAACCTGATTTCACATAAATATTTCTAAATAGATTAACCAGAAAGTTGACCACATTTATACTGGCATGTATAGATACTATTCACTTTCAAAGTAGAGATAGAATCTAAGTATTACGAATCATTTATTAAGCAAGATACAGAATATCATGCTTAGACTGTAGATACTTTGTAAACTGAAAGACAACTGATTGACAATGGTAACCTAAATATAAATCCATAGACAGCAAATAATCAAAATTTAAAAATCTAAAGTTTAAGATGTTTAAAAGGAACTAAATAGAAAATAGACTGATAGACATATATTAATCACTATATAAACATAGAGAAATGTTGGCATATAAAAGTAGGTAGAAACACAATAATGTATTTGAAGATTCAAGTCAGTGGTAAGTCAAGTTAAGAAAATAATTTCTAAAAAATTTGAGAATAAAGTGACAAGATGACAATTGGATGATGAACTTATAATTTAGATAAACCCTAGTCTCTAATCATCAAATCAACATATACAAATCAATATACATTAATGTATCAAAGTTTAACCAGTCATTTAGATGCAGTCATATGAAGTCAGTTGAGATACTTCAATTGGCAGCTGAAACTATCTTTAAATGTTGAACCAATCTGCTTATTGTCCGTAAAGAGTCTGATTCGGCAAAGAAATTGCTTTCTAACACTCATGCATCCAGTCTTAAAAAATTTAAAGAGAATATTAGAATTGAGTTTAATGAAATCAACTGAAGTGGTGAAGCGTTGTATTTAATGTTTTAGGTTTCTAAAAACACTTTCTCACCAATAAATTACTGTCCACAAGTTGTTTTTATTTAAAGAATCTAGGTAATTCAGCTAGAAAAAGATTTAGAAAGGAAATATTATACCAATCTATTTGATTAAATTTTTTTGACACTTTCATTCAAAACTCATTTTCAAGTCACATTGGTCATTTTGTTAGAATATTAGCCGAGTCTTTAGAGGGTTTAATTATTGTACAATAGATGAATAGATTAAATAACATTTTTTAATGTTATCTCTACCCCTAAATGTTGCTTAAGGATTACAGTGGAACCGTGTTTATCCGGTTGCAGATAATCCGGAAATCTGCTCACTTTTTACTGGGAACAGAATAATTACTATGTAAAAGTAACTGTTAATCCAGTTCTGCACGGCTCTGCACGGGAAACAATTATAAAATTCTATAGTAATTAGAGGGAGTAATTGTATTGTGTTGTATTGTTTTAGTGTAATATTGCACTGAGTGTGAGAATAAAACGGTTATTATTATTATTAGTATTCATCATCCGGTCGCATGTCAAGTGAGTTCTTAATCTAACTGGTTTTCGGATAAGCAGCATTTATGATGGCGCGTCATTGGTGTTTAATAAATCCTAATTATGAGATTATTCGATTAATTTAATTATCTGATTTAATAATCATACCTGTATACCATTTATCCTTCAGTTATACTTCAATGTTCTTTTTCTTTTTCTGAATTCTATTATTGCTACGGAATGCATAAAACGTTAGCCCTACAAAGTAACGGCACAGAAATTTGTGTTTATAAATAAGCAAAACTGGCTTTCTGATTAGTTTTATTCATGATGCCTCGTTGATCGGTGTTTAATAAATCGTTATTTGAGAATATGCGGTTAATTTAGTTATCACATTCAGTAATACTTGAATTCAATTTTTCGTTCAGTCATACCCGAATTCCATCACTGCTACGGAACACATCAAACATTATAGCTAAGAAGATGAATAAAGGAATGATATTGTTATTACTATGCTATGATATTGAAATGAAATGAAAAATTATAAATAATCAGAGTTCTTCACGACGTATCAGCACTATAAAGTACACACATGTCTATCACATTTTATCTTGAGTGGGAATGCGCGGATAAACAAGGCTCTACTGTAAGAATGCCAGTGCTTCCAAGAGTGGGTTTGATATTTATTTTCAACTTATTGCACATACAATGCTTATGTGGTCTGTTGAAGAAGTGATTGCAGTCAATAATTGCTGTTTCTTTATGTTTCAACCAGGTGAGAAATAAATTTATTTGATAAAAAGTCAATTTTAAATTTCACCAAACAACACATTCATAACATCTGTCTTGTTTATTGCTACAAACTATCATCAATTATATGATACAACCAAATGTAAAGTTACCTCCCTTTCACCACAAAAGATAAGTATGGAATTTATTTTTCATTTGAAAACCTAGTTTTTCTCATAAAAAAAGTACAAAAATTAAAAAGTACAAAAATTGAAAAAGAATTGTATTGAATACAACCAGTATCATTTGGCAATATAGGGGAATCTTAAAATACGCAGCAAAGCATTTTCCTTGAACAAGTATTTTTTTATCAAAACATTCAAGCAGGGTATAGATTGCAGATTTGTGGTCCAATAAAAGAATATGAAGCTATGTAATATTATGGGACAAGGCCATGTGCAGTTTCAATTTGCACTATTCAAAAATGACTTCTTACCTTTTAAAGCCTATATGATAGAACAATCATTTCTGGTTTGTAACGATTACTTAATAACAGGGATAATTGATAAAATAAGGAGAAATCAATGTCAATTCAAGTGATTTGCTTTATGCACAATAACTTTTACAATTGATATATTTCTTTCCATTTGCTGGCATTCTCGTTGTCATACTATGACATTTCATACCACCCAGGAGTTAAAAATATAATTGATAGGTAAGATGGTATTTGTAGGAAGAAGTATAAATATTCTGGAACAATCAGTCAATCTTTAGCTTTTGAAGCTGAGGAATAGTTACAAATAACATTTACTATAATAATACATACCACCATGTCTGCAGATTTCTCAACACCGTCTTCGTCTAATGATTTCTCTGCTAGATAATTATTAGGGGAGTTTAAGTTCTCTTCAACATTAACAACTTCTAATCTTCCTTCATCAATCTCAGGTGGATCTTCTTCCAATTCTGGTAAAGGTCCACGAGCTATCACCAAATCCACCAATCCTTGTGCTGATTGCAAGATACGGATGGCTTCTTGGTGAGAGATATCTAATGGTTGTCCATCTATAGCCAGAATTTGATCATGTTCCTGAAGTCGGCCATCTCTGAAAATATACAAGTAATTGATATTGTCTATTATACAAATTTTTTATACAGTTTTTCTGGAAGCATAATTCAATTCCATTTTGAATCATGCTGTAATATCCTACAGAATTTGATATTTTAGCTTGATGTCACTCTGTGAAAAACTACAAAAAGCTCATGTCAGCTTCAATTTAATGTGTTTATTAATATTGTGGCTTGAGGGTAAAATTCAATAATTATAGAACTAGAAATATATACTTCCCACTGATATTGACTGGTGGAATTTTATATTATAGTTATTCTTCAAAATCATTAATACATATTGCTTTTAAAGCCTGACATTTCCTTTCATGTCTGATTTTTTCAGATTATTTCACAATAATATTATTTCATATCTAAGACATGTTCACTGATTGGAATAGAACCGGAATCAATCAAATTTGATTTCTTTTTTTGCCATATTTAATTTAGTGGCACTTTTGAGATAATGAAATCAGTATCGAGTAATTCTTTTAATTCTTTATCACAGAATTAAATATCATTGTTCTATGAAGCAAAGACAGAATTCTTGTAAAATAAGCCTGATTCACGACATAGGCTTCCTGAAAGATTCTATATGCTCTGACATTTAATGTTTATGTGTATAACAGGTATTAAGTTCTTATAAGCTCTTTATTATATCTTTATTGGCAAAAAGAATATGTCACTTTTGGAGGATGAAATTTAGATTGAAATATTGCTTGGTTAATATCAAGTGAGCAATGTTTAAATACAGCATCTCCCATTTCTAATTTGATGATTGCCAATGGACAAGACCTGTCCAAAAAGTCAACAACATATATTAACTTTCAGCTCTTGAGCTTCAGTTTCATCTCCCTTTGTTACAGATTGTGTATGTGTATTTCATTTACAATAAGGCCTTTGTGGGGGCTGACAATAACCATTTAGTGAGAGAAAGTTTGCCTTAAGAATGTCCAATGCTTCTCTTGTAGCCATGCGCTCTTTAGAGTGGCTTTTGTAGGTAATGTTTGGTTGAGAATATTAGCATGTGGTATGTAAGGTGTTAGCCAGTTTCCATGTTATGATAATACTAATGTCATGTAAATACCAGGAAGCATCAAAACATATAATTAGTTATCATAGACAATGATATATATTCCAGACATAACACATCACTTACAAATCTCATCAGCAAACCAAATAAAAGGAGAATTCCCTTAATTCTAATCGTATATTAATTCTTACATTGATTTTATCACCAGACAATCACAATCATGAATAAATAAAACACATTTCACAAATATCAGCTTAACATTTCAATATCCTCCCTTTTTGCTCTATACCTACATGCTTACTGATACATGAGGTTGATCTGTCTGCCTAGTGTTTTTGTTTTTTTCATGTTAGTTAATAAAACCTTTACCAAAACCAAATTTGTAATTTAACAAATGTGACCAAAATTTAATTATTCATGCATATATTAGATTGTAAAGAGGTTTTCTAAATATTTTATGTGTATTGGATACACTGATAGTATTAATTTGCACCATTCTAAATTCCAGACAGGAAATTTGAATGGTGCAAACTGATGTCCACAATACACACAGAATCTTTTAGATAACCTCTTTACAATCCGTTTGAAGCTTTGGTCATAATTTAAGACATTAATTACATCTAAGCATACCATTTGATTTTGGAGCATTGACTAATACAAAAATAATATATTCACATGTTAAGTGTGCTTTTGCAAATAAAATATATTTCTTTGTCCTTAATATTTAACAAATAAAAGAAAATTATTGACATTTTCATTAATTTGAGTTTTTAACAGAAAATTTTCAAAATAAAATTTTTATGAAACCCTTGACTTAAGTATATATGATACAGAAGTTAGAATGGAGGCCTGGAAAAACTTAAATTATGTCATCCACAATTTGAAATCTTGTCAAAAATGAAGAACTTAGTCTAGAGAGGGCTTAAGATAAATTACTTGAAAAACACTTGATCACAAACTGTCAGTTTTAAACTAGTAGAACTTCTCTCAATACAAAAAAAGGTTCGCAACCGTGTGCGATAATTAATTAGCTCGTTGAAGAGCAATTTATAGATGATTTATAGAGTTCAGTAATCGATATATTGTATAATTTTAATATTCACTCAGTAATATTTATTTATTCATGTTATTAATATCTTTAATATTATCAATATCTTTAATATATTATTAATTTTTGCAATATTATTAATATTGTATTGTATTATCTCTGTATTGTATTTTTTGTATATTATATTGTATATAATGTATATCATGCTGTTGAGTCTAAATGGCACTTTGCAATAAAGATTACATCTCATGCGCTTTAAAACATAGTGAAACTCATATTTATCTTGTAATCTTTCGGTAAGATAAGAAATGAATCAAATATACTCAATACCCCTTATTGATTGAGTAGTTAGAGAGTATTATTATTGATTTAAGGTATAATAGTGTTATAATAATTAGTACCATTAAGCAGTATGATAAATGATGTCCACTAGACAAGTTTAATCAATTTATAATTACTACAAACTAATTAATCAAAACTCTCTCCTTTCTTATGTATATTCTTGGCTTCCTTGGATATATCCTGGTCAATCTCTTACTTGACCATTGAATTAGAGAAAAAGAAAGAAATAACCATTTGTGTCCTCCACCCAACTCCCCACATCCGTCAAACATATCAGAACAATTTGATGGTGTGAAATGTCATTTATTTTGCATGACCACAAGAATATGAGAAACATAAAGTATTTGTGTAAAACTTACACTACATAAAACAACTCAAATATCTAATAATGCTCATATTCCTGTTGGGCTAAACACAATAATGATAAAAAAAACGCCAAACATAGCCCCAGCTGTCATGCCCAACCAACAACCATTTGCGTCCCCCTCCAACTCCCTTAAAAGAGAGAAGAAATGGTTGGTGTGAAGATGATTATTAATGATTTAAAGTATTGGAATACGAGTTAACATATATCTCAATAAAATCATTAGCCCTTACTCAAATACTGTGTCAAATATTCCAATAGAAGCAAACAACCATTTTTGCAAGATTAACAACTCAATGTTAGGTTCACAAGGATCATATCTACCAGCTGGTCATTTGCAAAACATCTTGGCATTGATCTTTCCCTGATTACTTGTACCATTTACAGCAAGGAGGTGACTTATTCAAGGTAACCAGACAATCACATGCAGATCAAGATTAAAATCCTTTGAGCTCTATTTGTTCAATTTGATCAAACAAACTGTGCCACAAATCAGCAAAAGGTTACTGTTTATATAAAGATAGTGGACCACAGCAATATACGGCATGCAGATGGTAGAAATGAAACATCCATTTTAAGTTTCATCAAAATTGGTTGAAAACTAAGAGAGTAATAGCATATTCAAGATTTTGGGGCAAGGGCAACAACTCTGCTTCTAATGGTCGAAAATAGCTCAAATTCGAATTTGATCTTCGTTTTATGAATATGTCTACACATACCCAATGTCATTTCATTCCATCAAAAAATCTAGTTTTTAGAGCGTTTACAAGCAAATGTTGACCGACGGACCTTTGTTTCATGAATATGTATGCACATACCGAACTTCATTTGATTACTTCAAACACTCTAGTTTTTAGAGTGTTTATGAGCAATTGATGTTGATAGAAGCACTTATTGTATAGGGGTTAAAGGGCGATAACTCCTCAAAACTAACGTAAGAGGCCTAAATCTTGAAAAAGCCTTAAATCTAATCAGAAGTAAACTAAACTTTCTCAAACCTTTCAATTTAGGTCCAATAACATTCATTTTAAGTTTCATCAAAATCGGTTGAAAACTAAGAGATTTTGGGGCAAGGGCAATAACTCTGCTTCTAACGGTCGAAAATAGCTCAAATTCGAACTTGATCTGCATTTTATGAATATGTATACACATACAGAATTTAATTTGATTCCATCAAAAATTCTAGTTTTTAGAGCGTTTACAAGCAAATGTTGACCGACGGACCGACAGACAGACAGGGGTGCCGACAATCTACGTCCACATAGAGAGATGTGGGCGTATAAAAATGTATCATGTTTCAAACATGTTTTCTTTAGCAAAGTATTATTACCATAATATCATTACACAAAAAGGAAAAAATTGAATTTGATAATGAATATACTGACATTTACAGACCGATTTTTTTTAACTGGATTTCACAATATCCCATTAAACATTCTTATTTTATCACGAGCTAAATGAGTGTCTAATTGAATTTAGTTTAAACCATGATACACAAAAACTCAACAGCAAATATCATTCTAACTTGGTTTCTTTACAGATAGCTCCTGGTTACATTGACACACATGGAAGATGTTAGAAAATATATTGCTTCAAGTTATTGCTTTTATAGGATAATAACACAAACATTCTGTATTGGAATTATTTTCAAAGGCCATGTCCAATTGTAATTATTCATATATAGTTTCATCAATCCGACCATAACTGTTGTTTAACATGTATATATAGTTTCATCAATCAGACCATAACTGTTGTTTAACATGTATATATAGTTTCATCAATCAGACCATAACTGTTGTTTAACATGTTTATATAGTTTCATCAATCAGACCATAACTGTTGTTTAACATGTCTATATAGTTTCATCAATCAGACCATAACTGTTGTTTAACATGTTTATATAGTTTCATCAATCAGACCATAACTGTTGTTTAACATGTTTATATAGTTTCATCAATCAGACCATAACTGTTGTTTAACATGTTTATATAGTTTCATCAATCAGACCATAACTGTTGTTTAACATGTCTATATAGTTTCATCAATCAGACCATAACTGTTGTTTAACATGCATATATAGTTTCATCAATCAGACCATATATAAATATTATTGTAAATAATACGTTTTGTGTTTCAACCAATTCTGTGGTGTGTGGTTATTTTCTGCATACTATTAATAAAACAACATCCGGGTCATTCTTCGAGAAACCCGCCAAGGCTGTTAAACACTTAAACACGGATCGTGTCAGCGACGAGTTAGTCATAATTTTAGTAAAAAAAGCGGTTGGTGCTTGGCCTCGTTTTCGTTTGGTTGATACAACATGGCGGGTTTTCTTCCTGTACATGAGCTTGTGCCTCTTTATTCAACTCTATAAAACGGTTAGCGGTTTATTTATCGCATTTTAATCATGTTAATTTGGATTTGGATCGGCGTGTGTGTCGAGTAACTTGCTGGGGACATGGCGGTCTGTTAGTCCGCAATGATCCGCACGGAAGACTGTCCGGGCATGACAGCTGGGGCTGTGTTTGGCGTATTTTATCATTATTGTGTTTAGCCCAACAGGAATATGAGCATTATTAGATATTTGAGTTGTTTTATGTAGTGTAAGTTTTACACCAATATTTTATGTTTCTCATATTCTTGTGGTCATGCAAAATAAATGACATTTCACACCATCAAATTGGTCTGATATGTTTGACGGATGTGGGGAGTTGGGTGGAGGACACAAATATAATTGTTGTTTAACATGTATATATAGTTTCATCAATCAGACCATAACTGTTGTTTAACATGTATATATAGTTTCTTCAATCACCGTAACTCCAGTTTAGTATGTATACCAAATTTCATCCATCAGACCATAATTATAGTTTTCATTTCATTTGTGTGTATATTTTCAACAATTTTACCATGTCAAGGACTTTAACTCAATACCTAGTCATTCAGTTGAAATCAATGCCAATTACTGCTGGCTTTAGTGTAGTAATGAGTTAGTGTTTGTAGATATCTAAATATCTTTATGATCAAATGACACTGTAATTAGATATACTCTTCTTATACAAATACAATGAATAAAGGTCAACCTGTTAGAAATGTTCTATTCTTCTACAAGTAAGTGGTACTAAAACAAATGTTTTGAATGCATACATGTTGATGAAAATGCAATGCCACTATCAAATACAGCCTCATGAATTCATAACATATATTAATTCCGTTTTGCATTCAGCAATACCTATTTTGATAAGAGATCACTTACAGAAACTGAATTCAATATATAAACAGAATATAGAAGATATCAATTCTATAATAATATGGCTCTTTAATAATCAATACATTATATTTGATATAAGACTGTAAGGTAATAATTTCAATATGAAAACATTATCGCAATTGATTTTAAAATTCTAGTCAAAATCTATTGATCTGATATTAGCCTCCGTAATATCCTGTTGTTTCAGTTTTATAAGCAAATCAATCACATCTGACATAGCAATAATATTATTAGTTCTAACTTGATTTTTATACTTTCTATCTCTTATTATTGACAATATAAATACCTTTTAAATACAATATGGAGTCTCTATAGCATACCA